AGCAGTTAGATTATTTATTATGATTAGATTATTTCTAGCACAGCCAAGAGAGGTAAAAGATACCACTAAGAAATTAAGATTTATAAAAACATGCTGTAAATTGTACTGTCAAGCAGAGAAATAGTGGAGTAAAATAAACCACACCAGTGGACTTGGATTGTGCTGTGTTGATTTAATTTTTACAAGGGTTGTGTGTGTCAGTGCTCTATATTAAATCAGGAGGTGTATAATAATGAGTTTTTCTTCCATGTAAACTTAGGACAGATTTCATTTCTGTGTCTCTCAGAAACAGCTCTTAAAAGATAAATCATTGTCCCAACTGCTTTGTTCTAACTGACCCTGGAATGTTTGAGGTCTTTTTTTTTTTTCCTACATTTCTTTGTTCTTGTACAATGCTTTTTCACAAATAGGTAAGAGCATTAAGAGCATTAATATATTTCCATAGTGGTGAAGGGGAAATTTTTATCACTTTGAAAGGAAAACGTCAATATTTTACAGAATACCATGAAAATCAGTATTTTAGTTCATTAGGTTATTTTTTAATAACTTCAAACCTTAGAGAGTGACATTTTTGTTTCGATGAAGAGTTGCTTATTAAGTGGTTTTGTAATTAGTGATTTTTTTTTTTTACATGGCCTAATATAATAGAGCTTATTGTGTTCTTTTTCTTTTGGCTTTTTCAGGCATGAATACAAGCAAGAGCGAGACAGTGAAAGAGCACCCATTAAAACCTTCGAGGAGATCCATGCCATGCCTGGCCCAGAGCCAAACTCACCCTCAAAGCCTGAGCAAGCATTCTTCATTCCTGCAGCCAAATCGTGTGCAGCCCCAACCTCTGAGTGCAGGGACATCCACAGCCACAGTGGATGTTGTGTCACAACGAGGTAAGGAGCTCATTCCAGCACTGATAAACTCAGTTTTATTCAGATATCTGCAGTTTGTTGGAGAAATATCTTTGCACAAACACCTGCCATGCTGTATTACCAGGTTCTTAAGTGAATCTTTATACTTCTTTTTAAACTAATTTTTGTTCTTTTCAATTAGGACATTATTTCCTTCTCTCTGGAAAAAAGACAAGAAAGTCTTGCTCATTTATGCTGGAGAAGCATATAAAGGTTTCTGTAGCCTGTCCTAGGTGAAAAAGAACTAATAAATATTAAGCTTTTGGCAAAAAAYGTGCTTACATATGAATATGTAGGAGGTGATGCATTCATTCATGAGCAGTAGAATCAGGGAACAGTGGTATGGTGAGGCTGAGAGCAAACAGCAAATCCCTCCCAATTTTAGCTTGTGTTGGAATAAGGAACTACTTTGATTTTAGGATTTCTGATTTAACAGATAAACCTGCCTTGTCAGATAAACTGGTCTAGTTGGAATCCTGATCACTGTGTGTCACCTGTTGCCAGCTATTGCCATCCTCTATTGCCACTCTGTGTGAACCTTTGTAGAGTAAATTAACTCCTCTGACTCCTGCTATTAAATTTTGATAAGCCTTTCTTTTATGTTGATAGATACTAGGCACTAATTATTGTTCTAATGAGTTAATTTTATCAAGTTAACCTTCTCTCAGGAATAGACTGAAAGTCTTCATTAAAGTGATCTTGCTCTTTTTTCTGTCAGTAGAAAGTGCTCTTCAAAATTTCAGTCCAAAGTTTTTTTATTTGAGTTATTGACAGCTTAAAAAAGTTTTGTTTTTTTTAAGTAAAGAGTCTTTTACTTAAAAAATACATGGAATGCTGATACAGATATTTCATTTGTTCCAGCTAAAGTGATGGAGACTTTGGAAAACAACCTGCTTAAGCTGTCTAACACAGAATACCATGATCCATTTTTAGGTAAGTTGTTGTCTGAACTGAAATAATGACAAATTAATGTTTCTTTGATTACACTCACAGTATTTAGGTGTGGAAAGACCATGCTTACCACTGAACTTCCATTTTTTTTGAAAGAGGAGACTAAGTGTGACTAAAGAAATCTGTGTTGTCATAAATTTCGTGATACTGTCTCAACTCTTAGACTAAAAGTAAACAGGGACTAATGAGAAAGAAGTGTCATGCATTCAGTGCATCCTTTTCCCATAAAAATCATTCATTTGGAAGCATGAACTTGAAATTCCTTTGAAGTTGTTGTTTCTTATTATTCCCGTATTGTCATATCATTCACTATTTTCATGGCTGCAGTTCTGTTGTTGTTTCTATTTTTAGTTATTTTATATTTGCTTTAGATATTTACACATAAAAAGTGTTACAGTTTGGAAAAACAAAAAAGAAAAAAAAAGTAATGCAGAAAATAGACGTATTGGTACTGCACTGCTTTCATTTTGATACTGTAATTAAGTCAGAGTGAGTAGAAAAGAAGTTATTTTTGAAAGAAGTTATCCCACCCTTTTAACTGCAAATTGAATCTGTAAATACACACATRGGTAGTAACTTCCAGATTCCTAAATTAAGTAGTTTTGAAGTTCCCTGGCCATCTATTTGACCCATACAGACACAAAGATATTGCTGCACCTTACACAACTGCTATGAAAAATATTTTTGCTCACACTTGATGAAGCATCAAGCTAGAAATCAAATCTTCATGCTGAGTGAATGAGATCTGCTGGCAGAAACCAGGTCTGCTCACCTCTCACATGATTTAGCATTCAATTTTCTTGATGCCTAAAATACGTGATAGATCAGAGGCTTCTCAAGGTTTCCWGGAGAGGCAGCTACTGGCAACAGTGAAATGGATACATTTTCAAAACCAAATATTCCAAAACAGACCAAAAATTTGGCATGAAGATTATATCAGAAAATTCTGTAAAGTTCCAGTTAAAGCTACTGCACATTCCTGGTGTAATTGCTTGCATGAATACTAGAAAATTTTACTGTTATAATTTCCGTTTTTTTCTTTAAATATATACTGGTCTGTTTTTCACTAAATTGCTCACACATACACATGCTGACATTATTGCCTATTTATACGTGTCAGCAGTAATTCTTTCTCATGGGAAATGATGCACTGTTTTTCCTTCACATTACTTTGTTTTAATCTGAAAAGATACATGGAGAGCCCAACAAGAAAAATATAGATTGATTCTTTTCAGTTCAAAATTGTATTAAACTTTGGTGTGGACAGTTCTGACTACAGCTATGCTTTTTGAAGAAAAAAAACCCAATATTTGAAGATTGTTAATATTTATTAACTTGATTAATGAATTTGTCCATGTTAAGTGAGTCAATCCCAAATTAGATAAGTGAAATCTGTGAAGTTATTCTGTATTTATAGAAATGTAACATTTTAGGTTATTCAGTTGCAAGCAGGAAAGAAAACAGTATTTAAACATAAATCCTAGAAGTCAGTAGTAACTACCTTATATAAAAATCAGCATTATGTGTTAGATTTGTGAAGAGAAATAAGGGGACAATCAAAAGGTGCATGTARGAAAACAGCCTGTGTACCTTCAAAATACAGTTTGTTGGTGCTTTAATATCCTATTTWTGTGGGTAAGAATTTGTCTCCAAGTCTAAAATTTTCAGTTTTATYCTGAATCTGGATGTAGGTGGGAAGAGGAAGAAAAAAAAAACTGAAAAAGGAATATTGCAGCTTGAACTTTGATGACCAAATAGGTTAATACAATGCTTTTGGTAGGTATAGTTTGATGGAGCTTGAAAAATAGGCTGATTAATGGGTATMATCATCTTAGTGAATATTTTCAAACTGCTCTCCTGAGAAGATGAGGGGAAGCTGAATGAAGTGAATGTGGTGAATTTTTAATTAGGCAGYGTTGTAGAAATGTAGGCCAAATGGCTTTCTCCTCTTCCTGAATTGACTGAAGATTCTCACACATGCCTTCTGTGCAGGGGATTAACAAGGCATCAGATAAAGGATTTCAGTGCAAAGGTTCTCTTTTATTTCAGTAGAATATAGATGAGGCCATAAATCTGCTGGATAAATGTAATTAATGATGTTAATGGRTTTATGAAATAAAAATGTAATGTATTGCACCTTTATTACTAACACAGATAAACGGGATCTATGACATTGTGGATTTGTGTTATTTTTCCTCTGTCAGTTTTAGGTGTTAAGCAGTGTTTTTAKTTTGAGGAATGGGTAAATTCAGAGTGATGGAGCTTCTGAGATACATCAGGGGAGCTTTGAGGTTTCACATTGCTGGAACTCTCCTCCTTCTGCCTCACTCATTCCCCTCCCACCTCTGGTTAGAGACACAAAAGGTGGAGTTTACTGGGTTGAGATGAGAACAGAAGCAACACTCAGTAGCAACTAAAACATCACTCACTAATATGTTTTTTTTAATTCTATTTTTTCCCTTACATTAGTTATTAGGATTTGTGCATAATAACTCATATTTCTTAGCAGGCCATGACATCCTTCCTAGACAGTTAACAATTTTGCCATGACAGATACCTTTATTCTGAATGTAATCCTGAATCCAGTTGCTACAAAGCTTATATATGAAAAAACTCCAGATTTATTTGCCATGCTGCAATACAGAGAAGTGACAAATGAAGAGCAGAACCAAAACTAACAATCCAACAAAGAATCATAAGAACTACATGATAAAAGCTTTCTTTCAGTGCTCTATTATAAAATGTAATTTCAGTGCCTACAAGTAAATTTTATGATATCATGATAAATTGAAGTGAACATATATATATAAAAAATATTAAAAAAGAGAAATATTCTGTGTAATAGTTGCAAGAAATTGTACATTAAGAAAACTCTGTGTTTGTCTGTTATGATAGTTTTTCATATCTTAATATACACATACAGGTATCTGAAAAACTTCCTATATTCTGTGTGTAATATAGTACTCCAGGTGCACAGCAAAATGAAATAAAACCTAAGCCCATCACAATGTCGTTTATATAGGTGTCTAGTGGTGTTCTACTCCAAGTTATTTGCTTTTTCTAGGATTTCTAAAATTAGGACAAAAGGGGATTATTTTTTTGATAATAATCTCTTTCTTACTGAAGTTTTTCAAAGCCTGTCCTTAGATGTGTAAAGGCTCAAAGGATTCAGTAAAGAGTCATTGTATCAAAGTTTGTGAAGCAGAAACTATTTAGGAGTAATTTTTATATTAATTTTCCTATCCATGACTATGCCACATTTAAATTGAAAAGCTTTTGCTACTGTATAAAATACATTGTGCAGTGCATGTTACAGAGAAATCAGGACAAGTTGTTTTTATCCCCTGTCACAGAATTAAAATGCACTCTTGGCCCTCCAGAAAAATGAGAGTAAGAAAGGTGGCCAAGGAGTTAAGTCCTAAAAAGGAAGATTCAAAAGGTTGACTTAGATATCTATTTCTAAACCAAATACTTGTGCATTTTTATGTTAAAGGATTTCCAAAAATGAAATTGTCACCAATGTTTTATCATGTAAGTGACCTTATAGGGCACAGYTTATTGTCATGCATTAAGTGTTGCCAAATCAGATGTCAAGAAGTGTTGATAAGTTTTTGTGGTGTATGAAGAGTGAAGTTTTTCATGCTGCCTCTACATCACAGGATAGCAAAGCAAAGCAGCTGCTAGGATGAAGAGATCTGTTATCTGCTTAATTAATGCTTGAATCCTTTTCAAATCRCTTGTACTTGAGGGTGGATGGAAGGTGACATTACTTATTTATGTTCCATTGTTCTAACAATTACATGGGTGTATCTGCTTTAAGGGTGTACTTCATTAAAGTGAAGTCCTTGACAGAATGGGTTGAATACTGAAATTCCCACTGACTTTATTAAAATATGATTTGAACTCCACCTGTAGAATTAGAAGCTRTCACCCTTTTCTCTGATTTAATATCCTTCTCCTTATTTGCAATTCAGCCTTTTTTTTTCTGTCTTATTTTTGCAGTATTGGTGAAAGCTAAAGCATTTYATACAGAAATTTTTCTGACTCAGAGTCATAATAGCATATTAATTTAACTTTCTGTAACAGGTCACTTGGGTATGTGAGATAATTGTGGTTATTTAAAAAAAAATCTGTAGTATTTAGCGTGGAGAATTCAACTGAACAACTTAATGAAAAATACTTAATGTTGCAGAGGAACTTTTAGGAATTTAAAATCCATGAAATTAAAGACTGTGGTTCCCACAGCAACCACGACTTGTTTCTAGGCTTCTGTTTAGGGTTTGGAATTACTGAGCTAAATGCTRTTCCTAATCCACCTGACTTTTCCCATGTCAGTGTGAAAGCTGAGATGGGAACTTGACTCAGGATTTGGGGGTAAATTTTTTGCCTGAATATGTTTCCAAGATATCCTAGTTTATCCAAGATAATACTATGTAGCAATAGTTCCTCCATCTTTTTCATATTTAACATATTTTTTCAAGACTAGCCATTTTCCAACATTCATTAAAACCTTACAGTGCAGACATCACCTTTAGTTTTACTCCTGCTGGGTGTGTAGGGCAAATATTGTCTCAATTTTTTTAAAAGACAATATGAGTAAGCTCTGAGGAAGCTCCTCATTTTCCTGCAACTCTCTTGGGGTACTCAACTAAGTTTTCATAAAAAACTTTATGAAGTTTTCATAAAAACTTCAGCTGAGCAATTAAAATAAATCCAGTGACAAGGAGAACACTTCCTTCATAATGACTTTATACTTTCTGCTACATCTTAAAATGCATTGCACAGTGCTTATTGCAGTATATTAATGTGCAATTTTTCAAATGCTCTTTCTGCATATGTGTAGGGGATTCAGCAATTTCTATTGCTTGTTTAAATTTTTAATGTGAGATGTTACTCTGGTCTCCAAGGTGTGCCTGCCTGGTCGGTGAAACATTTTGGGTCTCAATTTTGAGTGAAGCATTTAAAATTTGTATCACTTTGTGTGTTTATTTAATTGCTGTAAAAGAGGTTATGGACTTTTTTATTTGAATACTAATAAAAAGCYATTTTTATAGGCCTTCTACTAAAAATAGCAGTCATTTCTAATTTAAGATAAAGATGATAGCATTTCAAGTATAAATCTTTYACAGGAAAGGAATTATGTTGTTAAAAGGTGTAAACATAAAATGAATATTCAACTGTGGCTGTAGTAATACTGTTCATTTTCAACCATTATAATCTAAAATGAACCCATTGKTTTTTTCTGGTTTTCCTTCAGATGGAGGAAAGGACAAAGATACCTATACAGATGAYTCAGAACATGGGAATTATGATACTCGCACAGATCAGTCATTGCTTATTAAAAACAAGCTCACCAGGCAGAAAACAGAACCTCGAACTAAATCGTCTTTAAAGGTAACGGACACAAAACTTTATTAAATTGTATCGACTGTCAGAAGGTGCTTAAATGTTTTTAAAATGCAGTTTTTAAAGGACTACATGAGTTGCAGTCTAAATAAATGAGCATCTCGTGGTAAGAAATTTAGGTTGCTCGCAAATATTTGGAAGTGATAAAACTTTTAAAGTAATTTTAGGTAATGGTTTTAATTAACTTTTGATTAATTGTTTTAATTGTAAATTTATGTGCATTCAATCTTTAATCACTTTTAGTTAGCATTTAGCAATGGTTGTCATAAGTTRTCATAAGCTGTTGTTGTGGGAATGCAGCTTGGTAAAATTACTGAAACTTYTAAGTTTTGTTAAAAAAAACTTGATATGCTTCAGTGAGGAAAGCCTGGGAGAAGAGAGATGTATTTTGGAAATTGGATATAAGGAGTGCAGAATTTATGGATCACATTTTGCAGAAATTAGAGTTTAAAGAAGTGGCTAAGAATGTGTGTTGGAAAGACCCTACTGGAGGAAAAAAATACTAAAAAGATAAAACAGTGGCTAATTAGGATGTGAGAGAGAAATCAATAAGCTATAGTGGATAGAATACTAGTTAATGAAACAGAATGATGTAATTTATAGCTAATGAAGATTAATTTCTTGGTTTGCTAAAAATGCCTAAATAGGTTAAAAAGTTTTGTGTCAGTGTCTGTTTGGAGGCTGGAATTTTGTTGGTCACACAGACACCTGCTGCTCAAAAATAAAAGTAATGCCTTACTTGCTAGCACTGAGAAAACAATGTTAGAGGATTTTATTTATCCTGATGATTTTGGAGAACACTGGTAACAATATTAATGTTTGACCAACAGAATCAGTGAATGGAATTGGAACCAAAATCAAGCAATGTTATATAAAATCAAGGGTTCTAATGTTTTTATGGACTCATCTAAGAGGCAGTAGCCTCCTTTCAATAAATTTATATTGCACAGAATTTAGGATATAGGATTTTGAGCATGGAGTGGAATTCATGTTGTCTGGGAGACCTCAAGAAATTTTGAGAATTTACAAGAATCACATTCATGTAGCCAATGGTCAGTCAAGCATGATCTGTATGGAGTGTCAGATTCTTTTTCAAGCAGCGTCAGAATGGTACCTAGACACACAGAATTAAAGAAAAAAATTTATTTTAAAGAAAAAAAGAAAAAAAAAGGCATTAAGTGTAGGAGTATTATCAGGAACCTCAGCTAAAGCACTGGAAAAGCCATCTCATCTCAGCAGATAAAACTGGCCTGTTATCYTGCTTAGTAATTACTTACTCATGCTATTCATCACAATGCATTTTCTCCAGCAGTWCATCCACTGTTCTGTCAAAGAATTATGATGGATTTTTTGTTCAAAACGTTTTTTTTTTTTAGTTTTACTTTCTACTAGGAGAGCCTTAATTCTCCTTTCCATTAAGCATAATTGCTTGCAAATGTATGAAAAATGACCTAACCTCAAGAGGTTTTGAATAATTTTCTTCACGCTCTGGAAATAGTGTATTCTGCAGCAAAGGTTTTTTTTTTACCAGCCATTCTGTGATTTTTGATGTATTCCTGTAGGAATCTATAATCCTGTATTACAGATCTAGAAATTCTTGAATTACTGTCAGCTTCTGTGCTGTACCTACGGTGTGCTCTTHAGGAAATCATGATTTAGTTCTCTCATGGATTGTACCTGTGGCACTTTGATTTTAGCACTGAATGCATAATTGAGGGGTTTTATGGCTGTTTTACTGCTTGTCACACTCATCAGCATTAYTGCAGTACTCTGGAACAGAGGTGGATGTGATCTCTGAGGCTTCATTTCATAGGATGCTTTATAGCAGTAGCTATCTAATAATTTTAAAATAGGCTTACAGATAATTGTATTTACAGATCTGTGATTGTAATCACAGATGTGATCAATTCTGACATGAAAATGGAACTTCAGGAATGACATTTATGATATATATCTCATATATATCACCCTTCCTGGTTACATTTTAGTCTAAACTGTTGCAATGAGAACTTTTGGTATTCAAAGATGTTTCTCTGTTTCTGCAAGACTAGCTGAATTAGGCAAATAATAATGGATGTTCTTGTTTGATTTTGTTCATTAAGTAGACAAAGCCTTTTTTTGTTAAATGTGGCCTAAAAGACAGGAAAACAGTGTGGAGTCTGTAGAATTGAGACCATGCTACTGAGCCCTAAATAGTTTTAATAAAAGGTAAAGCTGCTGCCAAARCAATCTAATAACAGATGCTCTACTGTCTGTCTAGTAACAGGGATTTCACTGTGCTAAAGCAAAATACTTCTTTTTGTATTTCCATGTGAAAACCAAAATGGCCACTAGTTGTATATTTTCCAAGCCCTGCATTCAGGATGGTTATGAAGTTCATAGTCAGCGAGTTACCTTTCTTTCAAAGTTTAAAGAGGAGTTTTATATCTGTATCAAGTTTAAACAAAAATAGACTTTTTATGTCCCTATCTCTTTATATACTGACCTACTGGACGAAGTGGTTTAGAGTTTAAAAACATTCTTAAGCCACATCTGGCTTCTAGCTTTGACAGTTCCCTTCATCACAGCAGCTTCTCTGGAAATGTCCTCCTGCATTTGGAAGGAATGTTTTTGCAAATGAGGCATCTTGGTTTAASCTCAGCTGCATCAAACCAAAAGCCAAAACAGCCCCATGCCAGCTCCTGTGCAGGAAATGAATTCTATCCCAGCCAAAGCCAGCCCTGAAACAACCAAGCAGGGTTCTCCTCTTTACTGGAAAAAGGCAAGGGGGATTTAGATTAGTCTTGTATTAGAAAAGAACACCACTGTTCTGCCTTTGGTTTATTGTAGAAGTCTTTGTGGCAATTAGTTAAAATGCCTGAGGGAAACCTATTTCCAAAACTAGCAGAAGAAGGCTTCTAATTCTTTCTGGGACTGCTGAAAGCACAGAATACTGCAGKAGAGCTTYACAGCTGGTGAGTACTCTGACACATTTGAAATGTAAACTGATCCTCACAATAAAAAGTCTCCTCAGTCTGATCTGATAATGAGAATGAGAAACACTGCATTGGCCAGGAGTGGAAGGATAAAAGCATGTTCTTCTCTTCTTTTTAATGTCTGTAAGTTTGGCTTGTTTTGGAAGGGTTGTTGTCTACGTGAGAGACTCAGGAAGATTGCTGAAAAATTTGTTTGCAGCTACTTCTTGGTGCCATTGTCTTTCTCAGTGATAAGCTGCTTGAATGCTCCAGTAGTAATGAGCATTTCTTGTTGCTGTGATGAAATCCAATACACTTTTTTTTTCAGGAATTATTTAGTTTCAAATTATACGTGTGATACCTCATAAATCTGATTCTTATTGCTACATTTTAAAGCTTGGAAAGTCAGATAATTTTCTTAGAGCAATCAGATGCCAATCTATTAATCTCATTTTCTTATTTCCATGATTACGATTTATAACTGGTAATTTCCTATAGTGTGGGTTGATATCATTTCAGAAACCAAAGATTTCAAATTGAAAAATTGTGAGTCAGTCAGACTCAACTTTATCCATCTCAGMCAACTTTTCATCACCAACTGCTCTTGAGATTGCATAGAAAGTACAGCTTCATGGATGTGATTGTGCCAGGGGGTCTCAGGAAGAAAAATGAGTCCCAGAAATGTCTGCTGAGCAGAAATGAGAAATATCTGCTTTGCAAAGGGAAAGGTAGAAAATGAGAAGGTCTCTGAGTGGAAAGCTGATACCTGAAATGTTCTCGTTTCCTTAGGAAAGGGAAGCAGGCTTAAACAGATTTTAGCACTTGAGTGGAAGGCAACATTTGTCCAGAGCAGCAGCAAAATGAGTAGCAGTGAATTATTTTCTTTACCTATTGCTATTACATGTGTAGTAGGCAGATAGGAATATTTGAGAAGTTACACTTTCACTTCCTTCCATTCACTGCTTCACTGTTACWGTCTTTGATCTGATAAATTTTTTATCTAGGTAGTGCATTTTGCTATCTGGCAAGGCAAAGAAAGGATTTTTGGAACAAASTTTGCATTGTTATCACTGTGGGTTTGGGAACTATGAAGAAATGCTGCCTATACAATAGCTGAATTTAGTGCTTTTTTCTGGTAGTCCAGAAATGCATCCTGATAACACAGAATTAATTCAAATTAAAAGCTGTGATAACAAAYGAAATCATTATCCCAGAATGAATGGATGTGGTAAAGTGCAACAAAAGTCAACTTCATGTTTGTGCTTTTAGTGCTTGGCTCTCATGTCCTGTGAGATTTTGTTTTTAAAAAAAGCAAAAGGTCAGAAAATATTTCAGGAAATGCAGGGTCAGTTGTAAGTAATGTTATCATAAAGRTGAAAATTTAGAAAAAAAATAAACTTGTAAAGATAAATTTTCAGTGATCATGTATGGTTCTTAAGACTTCCTTATTAGGCTTCAAGAGCAAATAGAAGGGGTCAAATATTAAAAAATCTCCTGTTTCCTAAAATCCTCCATTGCTGCTCCCTCATATGGTTATATCGAGCAGACTTCATTTCAAAATTTTGCATRTCACCCAACCCACTCCTTTCCTGAAGTCCAATCTGTTTTTCATAATATATACAAATGCATTTTTCATGCTTACTCTAGAAGTCTGAACAGAATATAAATKGGAAGAGATGTCCTCTGTGAAGAAGCTAAAATAATTGCTAATCCTTTCATGTACTCCTGGAAAGTTAAACTGCAGTTTGATCAGGATGGTCAGATACTTCTGGAAGTCTTGCTCTCCATTCAGAAAAAGCTGTGTTCTGCACAGAAATATGATAGCATGGGTAATTATGGCAGCCTGCAGTGATACCTTTGATGCCCAAAATAGTTTGGATGTCTTTGCATATCCAAATATGTCCCCARTTTTCTTTCCTCGGCTATTTGCACAAGAAGAATGTTGGCTAAATCCAAGGAACTTCTTTTTATAGATTTGATTGGAAAGGTAAACTCTTCATATTTTATAGCTTTGCTAAATATTTGCATTGTACTTCTACTTTTTTTTTTTTTTGCTTGAGCCAAAACTCCTTTATCTAGGATAAATTGATCAATGTGTTTTGCTTTGTGAATGATACCGGTCGTATTTTGAATTTTGCACTTTTGGACTTCAAAGCAGTGTGTCATGTGATTTGTTGCACTAATCACAAGCTATGAGGCAACCAAAAATGACAAAAAACAAGGAACTGCAGCAGATCTGTAGTATCAAAGCCTCAAAGGTAACAGTTTGATGCAAACCCATGTATTTTGATTCTGCATAATGAACAAACATAATGTTGTGTGAAGTGGTACTTCAGTTGAAGTTCTTCTGTTTAAAGACTTTGAAAGAACAAGGTTAAATTCAGTTGTTGAGTTTACAATCTGAGCTATATTGCAATAGTTTTTCAACCCAAATTTAAATGAGTTTTCACCTGTGTAAATGTAAGCTGAACAGATTGATATTGTTTCAGAAAATTTGGAGGAGTGGAGAGGATGAGGAGGATTAGAGAATGTTGTTTAGTCCTTTTATACACATTTTTCAGGTGAAACAGGAAATCTTCAACAGAACAGAGGACAGTAAGGTCTTTGCACACAGTATTTGTCCTGATGCTTTTCTCCTTTTCTGCTCCTCTTCTCTGTTGAGAAAGGTGAAAAGTGAATCAGAGATTTGCTGGTGCAAACCAGCAGATAAATAATAAATGATCTGTGCTTGAGTGCCCACTGTGCTGATTCATTGTGCTAGGTTTAGACAGTATACCCTGACTTAGATGTTTCATTTAAATTACTGCTCCCTGTTCTCCTTAGACATTGTGTAGCTCCTTCAGATCAAATTTAAAAAAAAAAAAAATCTAAATCACCATATAAATCCTTTTACTGGCACTTAATTACTTAAGTACTTGCCATATTACTGTTGGTATTGGTGGGCAGCATTGCTTGTGAATTGCACAGAAGTGAAAGTAATGGTGTCAGTAGCATTAAAGTGAATCATTCTTTAATCTGATAAGTGCATGAATGTGGTAAGTACCTTCACTATTGCACTTCTCCACCTGTGGGGGTTGTTTTCTGGAAGTGGTCTGGGATAAAAAGATAGATTTCTTTCTGCTATCATCACTGCTCATTATTTCTTTGACATTGACCCCAAATAATTCTGCTTGGTCTTGATGAATCTGAGGTCGCGTTTGGATACTGTCATTAATCTGAGAAATGAAATATGTTTTTCTAAGACTGAGGAAAGTTTGATGTTTCAGAAGTGAGGAAAGAAAGGCTAGAAATAATAATCCAAAGAAAGGCAATGAAGTGTGTTACAAAAAGRTAGATTAATCACAGTATGTCTGTATAGAAGTTGCATGAGCAATTCTGTAAAATGTGRGAGTTTTGGCCAGGCTTTTTGTATCTGATTTTGCTTCATGAACCATAAAAGCAGTCCTGGTCTGGTTTTATAAAATACTTGTGCAGGAAGCCTTCTTTACTSAAAAGCAGATTCCTTACTCATGTCTTGAACCTGAAAAAGTTTGGGTTTTAAAACCTTTCATATTCAGAGTTGCACTTTTGAACCTTCAGTCTGTTACTTGACCTTCAAACCTCTGCATCGTMGAGATTTAGGTCATTAAATCTATATCATTATTTTAAAAAAATTATAAAAATTAATGTTTTTACTACCATTCCCCTTATTAGGAGTGACAGACCCTATATTCAGTGCACTAACAATCTTGATTGGACACTCGACTRCCTTAATTTGGATTTTGGATGTTATTTATCTGAATATGAACAAAGATACTGAGATGCTGGATGTTCTTAGAGGGATCCAGGGCACAAGTCTTATATGGAGTGGCTGGAGTTGATTAGTTTGGAGAAAAGGGGAATATTATTGCTCTCTACAACTGTCTGGAAGGAGGTTTTAGTCATGTGGGGGTCAGCTTCTTCCAAGTGACGGGACAAGATAAAACATTCTCAAGTTGAACCAGGGTGTTTTTAGATTGGATATTAGGAGAATTTATTCGCTGCTGGGGCGGTCAAGAATTGGAACAGGGAAGTGGTGGAATCACCATCCCCAGAGGTGTTTACAAGATGTGTAATGAGACCCTTGGGGACATAGTTTGATGGTGGGTTTGGCAGTGCTGGGTTAATGGTTGGCCTCAATGATCCTAAAGGTCTACAATTCTAAATTGAAGCTTAATGTATTGAAATAACRTTCCCAGGTGTAAGATGATGCACTCGTTTGTAACAGTAGATGGTCTGAGACAGGCTGTTCCTTGTTTTTTATTTTGGGAGTTAAAAAAGCAGAGAAAGAGGAGGAATCTTGTCAGAATGCCTTAGGGTTTGCAGACTGAGGAGTTCTCAGAAGTGCTAAATGTGTAGAAAGCTGGCAGCGAGAGATGTGGGCGTAAGAAAAACCTTTCACATAGAARCAAGTGAGCTGCTCTCCAGTATTTATAACGCTGATATCATGCACTGATACATGCTTCTATTTATGAATAGACAGTGTACCTATTGCATGTGACTCTGAGTATTTTGAATTTCATACCCAAACAGGATTAATTTCTAAGACCAGCATGCTGTTGGTTGGAAGATGCAGCATTTATAAACATTTTGTCCCGTATATATTGGTGTAATGTATCCTGCTTTAAACTCCCATTCCTCTGGACAGTTTATGTTTAAATGAGTTGATGCATTCTCCAGAAGTTGATGATAGTTTCTCAGCTTACCTTTACAGATCTCAAAATCTTCAGGACCTGAGAGTGTGGGTCGACAGCTGTCTGAACATAAGCCAAGGTCATTTGTGGCCTGTATSAGAAATACAGCAGGAYTGTGATTGTCCCTCTGTCCCAMCTTGRKTATTGTGTCCARTTCTGGGCCCCTCATTTCAGGAGAGACCTTGAGGTGCTGGRGTGTGTCCAGAAAAGGGCAGTGGAGCTGGTGAGGGTCCACAGGGATTCATTCTTATGAGGAGTGGCTCGGGGTACTGAAGTTGTTTGTTGAGAAGAGGAGCCTCAGAGGAGTCCTCTCCTCTCTCTAAAGTGATCTGAAATGAGCTTGTAGCAGGATGGGCATCAGCCTCTTCTGCCAGTCAACAGGGCGAGAGGAAATGGCCACAAATTGCACCAGGAGCTGCTCAGATTGGACACCAGAAGAGTTTATTTCACCAAAAGGGTGGTTAAGCATTAGAGCAGCTGCCCTGGGAGGTGGTGGAGTCACCATCCATGGAAGTTTTTGGGACACAACTGGATGTGGCACTCGGTGCTATGGTTTAGTTGCCAAGGTGGGGTTTGGTTGGACTCAAAGATCTTGGAGRGCCATCCTGGCCTGATTATTCTGTGATTGTGTAGTCTGTCACCAGCTGGTTTAGTCTCTGTTCTGAATCATTCAAAGCACAGAATGCAAAAATAGCAGCATGTAAATYAGGGTTTCCATGTCAAGGTCAGATAATTTATTCTGTTTGCAAGCATGGTGGGAAGGAACTCGACAAGATTGCTCCCATGGCATTGAAAAAACACTTCAACTAGACTATGCAGGGAAACATTCCAATCAACAGCATTTCTTCTTAAATTTCTTTACATTTATTTCTGTCTTAGAGCAAATACAAGTATGTTTGTTCTGTAGAATTGCACAGGTACAAAGCTGAGAAAATTGCTTTAATTGACTTGCCTTTAGTTCTTTTTAATTCCCMCTTGAAAGTAGGGATTAACAGACGTTCTTATCAATATACACCACACAAGAACTTAAAGGTTTTTACACAGCTGAAATAACTGGAATATGGGTTTTGTGAAGCTGTTTTATTTACTTTTGTTCAAATTAATTTGAAATCCTGACCAACTGATATATATAAACTTTTTAGTTCTTCTGAATTTGTTACATGTTCATCCTTCAGATATGTGGACATTTCCATGGTTTAGGAAGTGCTGTGTTATGTGCAGTTCATGATGGGGCTCTTCATCTTTACRGATGCCATATTTAGAGTATTTTAATTTTGTCTTTGCTAGAGTGATGCCATGGCATCATCRGGACTCTTCTTCAAAGATGGCAAAAAGCGCATCGACTACATCTTGGTCTACAAGAAATCAAGCCCMCAGGTAGAAAAAAGAAGCACATTTGAGAAGAATTTGAGAGCAGAAGGGCTGATGTTAGAACGGGAGGTGAGTTTTGTAGCTTCTGTGGCATAAAAACCCCTTTATAATACTCTCACATTTCACTGAAATGATAAAAGATTCCTCACAGTATTACAAACCTTTCCGTCAGGCTGTTCCCATCATCTGCTTAACTGTATTGAACTAAGAAGAATAGTCTGATAATGTGTGTTTAAAATGATTTGGTCTTCTGCACAGAGGTTTTTAGCTCCTTATATTTGCAGAACAGAAGAAGTTTCAGTAACCCAAGACATTGCTTTAATGTAGAACCACTGTGTCTTTCAACAGGGTGCATGATGTTAAATGTCTCACTGGTTAATCCATAGCTAGTAATAGTAGTATTAATATAAAAATGAAATTGATATAAATTAAATATATAAATTAYTTATATAATTAATATAAAAATCTGCTTGTCTGAGTTTGTGGAGATTCAAAATTTATTCTRTGTAAAATTTATTCCATGTTAAAAAGTGCTGCATGAGGTCTTTACTTATGTTCATAACCAAAGATCTTCCCTACAGATCCTTTTGTCACTCTACTCCACATCTACTACAGAGTTGCATGTCCAATTCAGGCCTAAAATCCAAATTTGACCCTGAAGAGTGCTTCTAGAARGGAGGTTGCCATAAAGGTTTAAATTATTGATATTTGTTTGCTTGTTTCTGCTCTTTCCAGCCAGCTGTCACCAACAGTGATATCATGTTTGTTAAAATCCACTGTCCCTGGGAGACTTTGTGCAAATATGCAGAGAGAATGAACATCAGGATGCCTTTCAGGTATTGTGAAAACTATTTTAAAAAAACCTTTAATTTAGTGCTTAATATTGGAAATTCACTCAATTAAATCTAAAATGCAATCTTTACTGCTCTGTAGCCAGGCATGCTCATGTTTATTTTAGTGATGTGGTAGGGAAAGAGGAGAAATAAATTAAGTCCTTTTCTTGCCTGATTTTTACACAATACTGTGTTACTTGTTTTCAAACTTACCTTCTAAATCAAAYTGAGCATATGTCTTTAGAAGACACTGTCAGTAGTTCACACATTGTTTTGGATGTTCTTGGCAGAGTTTCAGATATTCTCCATCTGAGCTTGAGTATCCTCCGTGATTTTAGGGTTTTTCTAAAGTCTTACTGAAAGGCAAGGAAAATGACAGAAAAATCTGGTGTCTTCCATGTCTCCAGTATAATRATTGTCACAATTTGAGTAAAATGAGGTCCAGTAGCTTTCCTTAAACAGAATAATGAACTGAGTTTCTTGTCTGAGTGGRAAACAAGTTCCATCATATGTTTTTGCAGTAAATATTTATTATTAATTTGTTGGACAGGTTAATATCTATTGCAATGATACACAAGTCTTTCAAGGAGAAAATGTGCCTTTTCAAATTGATTAATAATATTCTTAGAGAGAGAAAAGTGTACTGTAAACCTCCTCAGGAGTTAAAGTGATTAAACTAGTTAAACTARTTAACCTAAATGTCAAAGTTGTGTGGCAGATGGAAAATGCCCTTAGAGCACTCCATTCAATGGACAGAGGAACCTCAAGCCATACAATTCTCCCACAATTAGTGRATACTGAGTGAACTTAYCCCCARAAAGTTTTAGGTCATCCTTAGRTARATTTTAKTAGGCCTYGRAGGAGAAGAKAATYRGACTTGATGATCTTTGTGAGTCCCTTCCTACTTGAGATACTCTGTGATTCTAAAAAACCAAATTATTTCTCTTAGCTTTTATCTGYTTTATCAGTTAAACCTGTTTAATCAGGTTTCTGACTGGTTCTAGTACACAGTTTAAGAAGACAGATAACCTTCCCTGTGCTATTTGAATGCAGTATATTCATTTTCTCTTGCAAAGTTTTGGCTTTTAGTTATAGTCACTAAAATATACCAAATGTCAATGCCATAGATGAATATAACATGTGAAGAATTAAGTTCATACATTTTGGTTTCATTTTRCTCAATCCAGGAATCTAAACAAAATCCACAGAATTATTGTTACACAGGTTATTTCTGTTTCTGAAAAGCAAAAATATTTCTGAGRTTCACCCACAATTCCAGAACTTTTTTAGAAGTGCCTTTTTTAGAAGTGTTTCCCACTCTACTGTCTATGAAAAAATGCATGTTTTGAAATGTCCAGTGTTCTTTTGTAAGAACCTTTGTATGTGTGCTTTTCAACTGTCTCCTACTTGATTAATCTCAACTGATTTTTGCTGTTCTTTCAGGAAAAAATGTTATTACACTGACTGGAGGAGCAAAACCATGGGCAGGTTGGTGGGTGATGTGTAGCTTCTAATTTTGTCAGATAGTCACCCTGCTAAAGAAAATCCATTYGCAGTTGTAAATTTATCTGTGAAACTTGGGAAATTAGATTATTTTCCTGAAAACTMAAAACATGTCAGCTCAAAGTGTTAAAATATTCATCTGTAACAAGGTGCAGTGCTTTAAAGCTTTGCCACTTCTCATTTTAGAAATGTAAAAATGTTTATGGCAGGGAAACAAAAAAAAAACCACACTTATTCTGGCAACAAAAATTTAATACTGGTTCTATCTCTGCCATTATATCCTGTGACACCAAGGCACACTTCTTTAGCATGAAGGACACTTTAGATTGTGCATTTTAGATTCTGGCAGTCAGAATATATCAGTAGATTTGCATATCCTTAGATATGCAAACATATTTTCCCTCCTGCGTGTCCTCGTGATGGGGAGCAAATCAATGCCACACACTGAAGGCTGCTTTGAATTTTTATTTCYAGCTTGTCAAACTCACTTGTAGCTGTTGCTGTTGGTGTTTTTGTCACCAGAAGAAGGGTAGAAGAGGGCATGGGGCAGGTGAAAGGGGCCTGGGAGTGCTGGGGAGTGGGAAGAGGGGACACTGACTGTAGTTACTCCCCTTTGCTTTTATCAGACATTATTATGTCCTTAAATCCTAATCCCCCATGGAAAATATGCATGAAAATATTTGACGTGAGGCAAATATCCTGAAAGAGTTCCTTATCATGGGTTTTTTCTAGATGGATTTGGAGATGAGATTACTTTTGATTTGGGTTTTCATACTGTTGCTTCAGATGATAAAGAGCCCTGATTATTTCTCTGGAACAGTTCAAGTGGTGTCATGATAACAGTTTCCAAGACAATCAGCTAACAACAATAAACAAAGCACTGTTGAGTGGTAAAGTGAGAAAACTTTAAACACACAAGCTGATTCAATATATTGAAATAAGCCAATTTCTACCATAGATTTACAACTGCATTTTGTCCTCTTCCCAGTTCATGTGCTTGCTCCATTTTAGCATGCWTTATGAGATGTGTGTTATGCTTTAATAAAAGGCAAAATCAACAAGGTTTACTTCAAAATTGTCTCATTTAATCTGCATCTGGTGATTTCTGGTTATTATATAAATTTTCCTTATTTAGAAGTGAAATGTTGAAACATGAAACTTAAGTTGCAAAAAAATTAAGTAATTTTCATGCCAGATTGATTTTTCATTTGAGACAAATGCTTTTACCTGTGATTTACTCTGAGAATTTGGGGATGAATATTTTTCTGCATGTATTTTCTTAACATAATAAGATTAACTTAATATAGTTAAATTAACTTAATCTAATTCAGTTCACAAAGAGTGCACAAAGGAATTGTCTGAAACAAAAGAAACAAAAAAAGCAGTGATACCTAAAATTGAAAGCTAAAATTGATCAAGACTTTTCCCATAAACAATTTTAGAATACTTTCATAATAAAAAAGCTGAAATTAGATGCATTGTTTTTCTCTTCTTCCTGATGCATCTGCATATTTTCCTCATTAAAAAAAAAACCTCTGGATTTTGATCAAAATAGCAGCTTACAGAAAAAAAAGCTTAAAAAAATAAAGGGGAAACTGCACTTACATRCACTGTGTATTAAGAGAACTTCCACTGGAATTAATAATCAACTCACTAATGAAGGTGTAATTAAGGAGACACTTAAGGGATCCACCTGTCAATTRTCTTCTGTTTCAATTTCATGAAAATATTGTTTTCTTTGGCTGATAATGGTTGGTGTTGAACACAAGTGCTGTCCCTTGAGTGCAGTAGCAGTAAAACCAGAAGGTGCACCAGTATCTTGCAATATACAGCAAGAAGAAAATTTTGAGAATTTTTAGTGTAAAATCCTCCCACATTTGGCAGAAATTTGTCTGTTACTGTGTGAAATAAGGGTAGAAAGGTTTTGCTCATGTTGATGATAAGAGGGACATTTTCACAAGGGWCATTTTGCTGCCTGAGAGCAGTTTACTGTGTCATCACTTATTACTCTTTATTATGAATATTATGAAGTTATCTTCATTCACATTATGAAATAACATTATGAAATTTACTTTTTTAATGGGCATTATGAAATGTGTAGCCTTAGCTGCAGGCAATGAAGTATTCACCTCAGAGAAAAAAAAATTGGTTGCTTAGCTTTACACTTCTTGTGGATATAAGATATATATGCTTTATATATTCATGCATACATATTCATTGAGTAGAGCCCAAATTCCACTGAAAAAAATACTATTTAGGGAATGTTTTTCTCAAATTTAAGACTTTTTCTGAATCTCTGATGTGCTTGTTGTGCCATGAAATAGCACTTGTTTAATATGAGATCTGCTCCTTGAATAACCATGTTGCATTGCAGTTGAATATGATAAAGTATAGGTGAGCAAAGAGCACAAAATTGAAGCATTTGTTTGAAAATTAACTTCACTGGACTAAATTTTCTCCTGTATAAATGACCTGCTGAGAGATCATTTAAACAAGATGCCGGTAGAAAAAAAATTTATGTTTCCAATAATCTGATTGAAGATACAACATTGATGTTCTCTTTGATTTTTGTAGTATCAATTTTTAAGAATCTGGAGTGCTGCATCACCATTTTGGTGTGTGTAACATATCCTTTATTTCATATTTAGATATATTATTTTGTAAGGCAAAATGTCAGCTCTTGGATTTTTAAGAAAATTTTGCCGGGGAAAACTTTGTTGCAATCAGAAAACCATAATCTCATCCTTAGCACTATCATACTTACTTACAAATTTTATAAATTTTCGTGTCCAAGTTTGCCAGGCAAGAGAGCAGGGAGAAGTTTCACTTGCTTTGTTCAGTGGGGCTGGAGAAAATTATGAGGTATGTTCTAAGCATAAGCAGATCATCTGCCAATTATTAATTAAAATTAATTTCTCCAGGCTCAATACTGCAGTCCCATGAATTTTACTCAAGTAAAGTGTTCAAGATGGATCACAAATATTGTTAATTTTGCCTTCTAACTCCTTATTTTCTTTTAGTTGCTTGATGTGGAGGTTTCCTGCTTTTATTTCATTTCTAGTACGGTGTCACTAAATATGCAATCTGTAGGTAGAAATAAGGAATTGAGAGCTTGTAAATTTGTCTTCTCATCTCAGTTTGCAGAGGAATATTAGAGAATTGAAAAGTTGGCTGCCCAGAAATCCCATGAAGCTGGACAAGGAGGCCCTGCCTGACCTGGAGGAGACAGATTGCTACACTGCACCCTTCAGCAGGGCACGGATCCACCAGTAAGTGCTGCTTTTGGGAAAGCAGGGCCAGAAACCACCAGCATTTTCTGCTTTCTCAYTTCCCAGCCAGTGCCACAGAGGTAGTGCTGACAGATGGTCACTGGGATTTGGGTTTTTTTTTTTCTCTTAAAGAGAAAATCTGCTCTGTGTTACTCTGTGCTGGTCACTCAGTAACATAAACTGAAATTTGACTGGGAAATGAACGTTGCCTTTTTGGTTTGGAAGTTTTTTTTAGTTTTTCTTTCCATTGTGTTACAAAATGCAAGTGCTTGCTCCAGTTTTCTTTCCTTAGTCCTTTATTGTACTTAGGCAGAGCCTGTTGACATTGGGAAMACTTGGAAGCAAGTTAAAACCAGTGATGATGTTTTTTTCTCCCATATCAGATCTTCATTTAAAAAGATCTTTTGCCTCTGAAAATACAAATATCTATACAACAAAACTGTGTTCAAATCAGCATGTTGACAGTGGTATAAACTGTGACTTAAATTTCTTTTCAATACCCAAAAAGTTCAATTTTAAAATTCTGACTGTTTCATTTTTAAAGTATTTTGTGATAACTGTTTTAGATGAAAAACACTAATTTAAAGTAGAAATATGAGTTAGGATAAACAGGATTTTTCTGCCTAGTAAAGAGCTGATATGCTAGTGAACTGACTTTACCCCAGAAAAACAGAATGATTACATTATAATCTCAATTTTTTTTTTTTTTTGGGTAACTTACCATGCTGTACTGGATCAGTCCCCTGGTTTTGGTGCTTTCTCCCTAACCAGCTCAGCTGACACAATTATAGTATCACTTTTGTCACAGCWGAGCAGGAAAAAGCTCCTGCATATCACATTTCTTGGGTCCAGAATGGAACCATCTGGCCAAGGATGCTTCACTTGGCTCCATCCTGGGATCCTCGAAGGAAAAATGGTTGTGGAGCTGCTACCCAAGTCTCTAGTGCATGGATTTTTTTAATTTTTTTAAAAAAAAAAAACTTTCAACTCATGAATAGTTTGGATTTAAGGCCACCATTGCTTCTGAAGATCTTTATTGAATTAATTCTATCCAGAACAGAAGTTAAACAAGATAGTAGGATATTTTTGATTTTACATTTAGTTTTGCTTTCCCAAAAATAAGTATTTTTTTGGGAAAATCACAGTTATCCTGTGGTAAAGGTAAATGTATTGGACCTGCTCTAGGGGTGTAGAATCGTATGTCCAAGGAATATAAACATTCAATAAATCATTGTGAAAAGAAAGCCCTTGAACAGCTTTGTTTCAATGTKTGTGCATTGTTTTGGCTATTAAGATATTCTTTATGTTAATAGTTTCACGATAAACAACAAAGACAGCTTCTTCAGCAATTCCACAAGAAGTAGAATTGTGCATCATGTGCTCCAGAGAACTAAGTATGAAGATGGAAAATCCAAAATGGGTGAGAATGCTGTATTTTTTWCCTAACCCAAATCTATAAAATTTTACATCTTTCCTTACCTTAAAAATTACCATTTGAGTAAACTCAATTTTTTCCTTTCCTTGAAATCTTTTCACTCACACAGAGTTGAAGCAATGTCCCATTATTTTCTACCTGGATATTTCAGTGAAAATTTGCAATATTTTATGCTTAATTACTCATTCCTTATAATAACATGCAGAGCTTATCATAATTTTACATTATTGAGAGCTCCAGTAAGGGTAACATGTACCTCAAAAACTGACTGTGTTTTCCAGGACTGATTCTGGTATTTCAGCTTCTATCCACCAATTTCAGTCCAGCAGAATTAATGTGCACTACACTTGATTTATTTGAGGTTTCTGTGCAGCTCAGAAATTGTAATGCAATTCCAAATAAGGATTTATGAAGATGATACAAATTACAGAAAGTTGTTGCTTGAGTTGCTGAACAAAAGCAGAAAAACAGGGAGAATACGATTCTTATATATCACCTTTGCAGTTGATGATGGCAAATTTCATTATGAGATTAGTATAATTTGTATATTTGAACAGATAAAATCTGAATTCYACTATATGTACCTGTTTCTTGGGGAAACTCTTGGCTGCAGATCTGCTCTTAAAGGCTTTGAATCTTTTTATTGTACCTATCAACGGTTATTTATTTTCCATTTTTTATAATGTGCTGTGCTAGTACAACAAATCTGTTTTTAGGAAGACTCTAGGAATGGATCCAAAATTCAGTAGTCAGTCTGGCACAGAGCACTGCTCTGMTAGGAAGTTCTCAGCTGGCTCATATTTAAAAATACCATGTTTAGCTTTTAACCCTGCAGGGGTTCYACTGCCTCAAGGGTTGTCCATCCGTGTCACTCTCTGTGCTTTTCAGATCATCTGGTCACCCATAAAATCTGTGTCACCTGCTCTCAGGAATGCATTGTGAATATAACTAAATTGCAGATTTTGGTCCTTGGGCAAGTTGCTGTCTGGTTTGACAGAGCCAGAAATCTTGAAGGGATCAGCAAGATCTGGTGAAATAATTTGGACTATTAATTGTAATTTTTAGCAGCATTCTTATCATCCAACACTGAGTTACRTTCTGCAAATGTAACTTGAAAATTTAAACTGCTTGAAAAATGTGCATAAAAAATTGATAGTAGAACTAATGCTTTTTTGGGTTTTTTTTAGGTATTAATAGGTTACTAAATAATGGAACATATGAAGCAGCATTTCCACCACATGAGGTAACCTGGTTAATTCAATTTTTAGTTTCATATTTAGGTTAAAGCTTGCACTAGTGAAATAGAAAAAGATAAACTGGCTATTTCAGAAGTGTGTTTAACCCTGTCTCTTATATCTGGCTTCCATTACTCCAGATGTGCCAGAAAARGAGATCAATTTATTATAAATAATTTTATTGTAAATCAAAAGAGCATTTCTATTAAAATAATAAGAAGAAATACCTAAGGAACTTGCACATTTTTAATAGTGCCTAGTACTTATATTTCTCTGTTTGGTTTTTTTTTTCCAGGGGAGCCACAAAAGCAGACATCCCATCAAAACACACGGAGCACAGAATCACAGACACCTCTTGTACGAGCGCTGGGCACGGTGGGGGATGTGGTACAAATACCAACCTCTTGATTTAATCAGGTATTAGTACTTTGAAGATTTTCTGTGAAACAAAAACTATATTCTAAAACTATATTCTTAAATTCTATATGATTTCCTATAACATTTAGCTATTCCCTGTTGTCAGATATATCTGGAATTCTCTAAGTTGTTTCTTTTGGGTGGTCTTTTGTAAAGGCTGTTAATTTTAAATTAACAGCATAAAAGCCTGCATAAAAGATGTAGTTGGAACAATAATGTAGTTCCARTTGCTCAGGAATGTGCAGTGTGAAAATTAAAATACAAACCCATAATCTGGTCAGATGAGAGACACTTGCCCCATATGAGAGCACCTTTGAGAGCAGATTGTTATCCACATGGCAGTCAGAGTTACCACAGGATTTAAAACAACCCAGTGTAAGTTTAAATAGATCATTATTTATATGTCTTGGAGTTAATGTCATAGGTTATCAAATGTAAAGCAGAGAAATATATACAATTGCAGTTAAATAATGTGATATTTATGCATTTTATATAGTTTCCTCCTCTGACACAGAATACCAATAATTCTTTTTCTTTGCTGTCAGTTTTTATTCCTRATCTAAGTCATTACCAATTATTGGTGTAGTTCAGCATGTGCCATGGGACACTTTYATGCTGTATCATCCTTGATTGACTTTCTGATCACTGCTGTTTCATCTGGTCTAGCAATTGAATCCCAAGTTTTTGAAGAATTAAAGTTCAGTCTTCAGCCTGTGTTATTAGAGCATTGTCATTACTAATAATAGTTTGAAATATATTATCTATCATAAACTTTTTTTAAAGTGGAATACTTAGGTCATACTATTACATTATCCCTTTCCACAGATTTTTTGTGTCTGTGTACATCCATCTATCTATCCTTGTTAGAATTATTCCACTGCTGTGTTTGKAGAGACAGATAGAGGTCACCATAAGTTTTAGTTTTAAACAATGTATGTGTTTCCTTTTCATGTAGGCGATACTTTGGTGAAAAAATTGGGCTGTATTTYGCCTGGCTGGGATGGTACACTGGAATGCTTATTCCTGCTGCCCTGGTTGGGCTCTTTGTTTTCCTCTATGGATTATTTACAATGGATTCCAGCCAAGTAAGGTAAAATCCTATTTAATAATATGTAACAGCTTGTTGAAAATTAAGAACGGTCTGGTACAACTTGGATTGCTTTGCTGTTAATTGCTTTGCAGAAATGGTAATAATGTAAAAATAACCAAGTAGAATTTTGGGTGTTTGAGTCAGGTAATTATACTTTGTATATTTGTTTTGGATCAAGCCAGATGTGTGACCACTGGCAGCAACTATTCTTGTTGCTGCATCTGCAGTGATTCCCATCAAGGCAAACCAGACCAATCTTAAGGACCAATTCTCATGTAGCTGTTGATCTGATTAAGGCTAACAGGTGAAAAAAACAGACATAYTCCCTCATTACCTCCATCTTGCTATAACTTGCAGAGTGTAGTGCAGTTACTAAGCTTCATTTTTGCCTGTGCCTTTTTTCCCCTCCCTCCATTAATTGTGGCAGAATGGAACAGGACAGTCACCTCCTACATGTCCTATGCTGGTCCCAGGAAGACTTGGAGACAGGATTCCTGTTTAACAGAAGGATGCATTTATCTTCCTTGCTGAAGGTTGCAGGGTATTTTAAATCACATGAAGTGGGCTAGGTCTTGAGGGTTTCTGTCCTCAGTTTTTTTCCTTTGGCTGCTGCTTGGGAGCTACAGACAAAACCTGTTTGAGTTTGTCCCTGTKGGGGATTCTTGTGTTGGGTGTCACCCTGAGCTACCTCAGACAGGAGTCATCCATTAGCAGGGAGATGGACTGCACACCTTCTTATTCTTGCTGTAGTCTGGGCCTGAGAGATTATTTGTCTCTCAGAGATTATTTCTGCATTGATTTAAAGAAAATTCTAGATAAGCATCTGTAGGAGTTTTAAATATCTGTGGTTTGATTCTAAGCACTGCAGCTTACACACAAATGCAGTATCCAGCAGCGGTTTGGAAGAAATAGAATTGGATATGTTCCCTGAAAAACATKCAGACACGGGAAACCCAGTGGAAATTAGAAATTTAAACCTAGTGTTAGTGCATTATGCAACGTCCGAACTGGCACGTTGGCCCAGATTCAATATTATTCAGTAAAAAGGGTTTGTTATACCTGCTATAAGGAATCCGTGGATGTCAGGAAGTGCTGATTTAAGTATGATAAATTCTGTCAAAAAGCCCTTTTTTTTTTTACCTGTCTTATGTACTACAAAACCGGAGCTTGGCAAATGATCAAATGGGGTTTGCAGAAGGATGCTCTCCTCTCCTCCGAGGTGCAGGGAATTGCCATCAGCCCCCCTCTAGCGGCTGCAGCCAGGAAACGATGGTTTTTTCTTCTTTTTTTTTCCAGATATGCAGCAGCTTCAGCCAAGAAATAATGAGCAAATAATAAGCAAATACAATGTATGCATTGCCACAGAACCAAACATTGCTTCCCATGGCAGCCATAGGTTTTGTGCAGCAGCAGTTTGAGAGTTATGCAAAATGGTTTCATACCTAAGAACAAGTTTGTTGTGGTTATAACTTGTCCAAGTGCCTGCCTCTGCTCATGCTCAGGGTCTGCTAGCAGCTGGCTCTTTATATATGCACAGATAAAAATATTATATAAATATGTTATATGTATTGAATGTATATATCAGCCTGTGCCAGGAGCCCATCTCAGCAAGGTGAGAATGGAAAAAAAGGAAGGGTACCACCAAAAGGGAGCAAATATCCCCCTCTCACACTGACTTTTGTCATATTGTCTCTCTCTTTTGCTCAATTACAGTTTTAGGGAAACAATCAGCTTTACAGTCAATGATTTAAATGTGTTGCACAGTAAGGAGGAGCATGAAATGAGTTGGGAAGACAAAAACCCTGAACACACACTGTGGTATCAGAGACTGGACCCTAGGATAAGAAAATACGTATATTTTTCCCATGTTTAGAAGCAGAAGTTTCTCCATTCTACACACTTCTCTTTCTTGTCACAAAATAATTGCAGAAGATGGGCAGTGTTACAGAAATGGACATGGAAATGGAAGATTTTCTTGTCTTGCATGGGTTTGGAATCAAGCTTGGTGATATTTGGGAGAGAATTTGCTAGAAAGAATTTACTTGAGAAGTGTAATATGATGCCCAAAAATATCGTATACTACCCTATRATCCATAGTGCTCAGGTTCTTGATTTGGGATTAGGCTTTTCAAGCAAAATATTCACTTTTAATTTATTTTATTCATCCAGCTTTGTGGTGCAGGCACCGTTAACTAACAGAGAACAAAAAAGGCATAACCACAGAAAATCCTGGGAATGCTAGAAGTGTTTTAATTTAAAATAAATCCCCTTTCTTTTCCTGTCTCTAAAGCAAAGAGATCTGCGAGGCAAATGAAACCATTATGTGCCCTATGTGTGAACGCAACTGCACACTACAAAAACTCAACGAGAGCTGCATATATGCCAAGGTAATTATTGTGTTTTTGCCACCAAGATCATTTTTATTGTGTAGTGGCTGCCCTGGGTCAACCAAGATTCCTGGAAAACATGTTGTTTCTCTACAGATGGTGTTTTCAGCYTTTGTAATTCATCTTTCTAATAAGGGAATGCTCTGAAATGGTCTGAGGATTTTCTAGAATTGCTTTTTGTGAGCATTCCCTTATTAATAAATTATTAATTCTTTTCATCAACTTATTAAGTCCCCTCTGAATAATAGTCTAATAATAAACTTTTTGTAATGTTTTGCTGCTTTCCTCTTTAACTGTCTTCTTACTCTGTTTCCCTTGCTTTCTTTATAATTGAATTTTTGCTCCTGCTTTGCTCTGTCAAACTAATGCAAAGATTTTTTTGCAGTTAAATATTTTGCTACAAGAAGCTATTCTTCCAACTTAAATAATCACAAGGACCTCTGTATGCATGCATTGTTTCCAAATGAACAATATCTTTTGATAATCATAATGCTGTAAAAGCAGCCTTGGCTTTTATCTTGCTATTCTTTATCCCATAAAATAAATCTTTCTCAGAAGCCTTTGTTTATAAAATATGATTGTCTCTTCCACAGCATTACAACAAAACTGCAGCTGTGTCAAAGAGGAAATAGATTTTGTATTAGATTTGAACATTTCTTGCAGATAGGACCAATGCTGAGTAAAACTCAACATTTCAAATCTATCTATATTTTTTAAAATTATGTTTGCTATTTACAAATTTAATTTTCTGTGTTATAATGCAGACGTTCAGAAGTTGTTTTGTAGCAATAGCAGTGGATACCACTGGAAATATTGGACTTAAAGAAAAAGGGGGTTTTGTTTTTAAATACTGCTATAACTATATAACAGAAGATGGTTCCATGAGAGGTTTTTTTTAACTTTTTACTGATTTTTTTAATGTGTACTTAAGGTGAAGCTTTTTTAATTGAAATAGCAATATGCAAGCTATATAACCCATCCCAGAAATGCCTCTTTTTAGAAGGCGATAAGTGCTTCTGCAGTAAAAACTGCAGTTTTACCAGGAAAGTAATACATTTGACATTGTGGTATCCCTTTAACTTAGATCCTGTTTTTCAACATCCCCAGCTAATAATAAGCAGATTTTGTGTCTTATATTTTCACTGACATCATGTGCTTAAATCATGCAAATTTTAACATTTAATGTCACATTGTAAATAATTCATTGCAGCAGAGAAAATGTGCCAATCCATCCATACTTCATTTCTTTTCAAATCAATCCTTTGGAAAAAAAAATAGATGACAACCAGAGAAGGCAAGGAGTAACCACTCATATTCCATCTTCTCAGGCACTCTTTTCTCGTGTCTAAAATTATGGAAATTCGTGTAAGCTCCCAGCCTTTCCTGCCAATGCTTTTGTTCTGAAAAGCTGATCAACCTTGGATTAATACACAGAAAACAAACAGGAATTGTTTCCTTTCAGGATTTGTCTGTTCTGGATCTACCCCAGCTGGGGGAGGAGAGAGAGAATTCCCTTTGGGAGGGCATAGGATTATCTGGCCACTCAAATGATGAAGAAAAATTAAAAAAAAAAAAAAATAGCTTTATGAAGCTTTTTGTAAAGATTATCATGTAATGCTAAAAAAAAGAGTTCACAGCAGCTTCACTCATTACCTCTTGCTACAAACTGCCTGGTTTCTAGCAAGGATTTGTTGCTCAAGTTGAGCAACAAATACCTGAACATGTGTCAGAACTTCCACTGTGTTTGTACCCAAATTAGTAAATGAAAACAATCTGTAATGTTAGAAAATGACAGTCTGATTTGAGATTAAATCAGTTTTTGTGCTTTCTGAAGTACTGTTAGTGCTGTCAGTAAGTGGAACTAACATTTTTTAAAAATAAGCCATAGGATCTGCTGCCTGGAAAAGGAAAATGGCATTTCCTGCTTCTTTCTTGTTCCTCAGATGGAGCTGGTCAGCATTTTCCTCTGGTTTTGCTGTTGTGGGAACATGACTTACATAACCACAGAGCTAATAAGCAAGGGATGCTATTAGTGATTCATTTCAGGCATCAGCACCCTTATTCTGGATTGAGTGTTTTAATCCTTACTCACTCAAGTAGTTCATTGTAGAGTACGTAAACATTGAGTTAATTAGGAGTAGTGAGTTGCTCTAAGTGATGTTCATCTCCCCCARCCTGGGAGCTGCTTCATTTATGTAAGGCCTGTGCTCATGTTTCAGATTATTAAACCTGGTGTCRGGGTTTTTTTGTTAAATATCTGCCATGTTTCCCTGCAGAGGATCACTGTGGGCAGGATAAAAAATCCCATACTCAAATGCTTTCCCTGCCAAAGTTTTGTGAAGTTAGAGACAAAATACAGAAGAATCCTTTTCCCCTTGTTGTTCCTGCCCATTTCTTTCATCCCCTCCCACTTACGTTTGAAAATGTCACGTTGAAGTTTATAATTGAAGGGAAATTCAGGTAATACCTGAAGAGCAGTTGAATGGCTGAATGACCAGGCTCTGTCATTTTCATATTAAATGGGTTCTTTGATCCGTGGTGATTCTCATGGCTTTGGGGCAGGTCCTGCAGGGCACACCTTGGCCTTGGCTGGGGCAGAATGTTGATTTAGGGTGGGTTTGAAGTGCCTCAGCCCTTATCTGATGGTGACAGCATCACTCAGCTATGCTGACTCAGCAGGATGCAATCTTTCCCCTTCTTGATCAGCACTCTCAGTCTCTGCATTTGGCCTTTAAGAGAGTCAAAYCTTAATTTTGAGTGTGGTGCTGTGAAACTTTCACCCAAACACTGTACAAAGATAATGCCAAATCAGCAGCCAAGTGTTTGTTTGCTACTCTTAGCAACATTCTTGGTTAGGGTTGGTTGATTGGTTCATTTCTTGGAAAGATGCACTCTTTCCTGAGCAGAATATCCAAAATCTCATCCTACTTATCAATACTTATTGATAAATAAATCAATACTTATTTTCAGCAAGTATGAGCAAATAAATATAACTAAGTATAAATAAATAAAGAATTTCTATTTCAATACTTATTTTCAATCAGTAAGACTTAGACTTTGCAGCTGAACTAAAAAATCATAAAAGAGTAAGATAAGGGATAAATAAATCTAACTAACTGAAGAGCATTCATGAGAAGAAATCAACTTCACAGTTTACAATTGTGGAGATTTCTGGGGAGTGATGTTTAGAAACTATTTAATGTTTGTTGGAGTTTAGGTGCACAAGCCTTTTAAGAAGAAATAGTAAAATAGAAAAGTAATTTAAGAGGCTGAGGTGTCTGGGTAAAAAGGAGTACATGGTATTTTTATCTGCAGAGAAACTGCAAAATAACTGGGTAGAAGAATGAAAAATAAATAATAGTATCTCAAATAACACCTCAAAAGAGATATTAAGTATACAGAGGGGGAAAAATGAAGAGATTTTGAGTTAACAAAAACCTTAAAATAGAAATGGTTGGGATTAAGCTTGACCTACCATATGACAAGAATTCTGGGTGAAATTTTAGCCTGTCTGGACATGGACAGAACAAGAACAGCTCAGTGTCTGTGAAACACAGCGACTGGTGATGCATGAAGTGATAGTTTGGAACAGCAGAATTCAAATTTTATTGGAACACAGAGTGTGACAAACACTGGGAGAAGAAACCTGCTGGTAGGACTGCTGATTAGAATGCTTAGATTTGGCTTCTGCAAATAGTTATGTACTCTGGGATTATTTGGGGCAAATGATGAGGTGGCAGTATTGKTTTTGCCTGATTTATTTGTTTATTTATTCAGGTTACACATTTGTTTGATAATGGAGGGACCGTCTTCTTTGCAATTTTCATGGCAATTTGGGGTAAGTACATTTTTATTTGTTTGGTTTTTTTTTTTATTTTTAGTTCACCTGACCCTTTTATGTGATTAAATGATAAAAGGAGATTATAGCCCTTGATAGAAGTTAAAGAAGGATTATAATTTTGCCGCACAAACTAATATTTTCATTTTCATTAACTTCAATTTTTATGCCAGTAGTGGCTAATGTAATGACTGTCTTTAGGGTCTTAAGTATCTTTTAAGTCTGAATTTTACATTATTCAGGCCAAAGTGCTTTCAGAAACAAACATGTAGGTTAACTTACTGCCCTTGAGCAAATATAAAAATGACATTTTGCAGAGATGTTGACCAAAGCTACACAAAGCAGAATCTTACCTGGGTTCTATTTCTCTATATTATTTCTAAGAAAGCAGGATAATAYCCTTCCAGGAAAACCACAGGTTGATCATTTAATTACAAAGCAGAGGAGTGATGCTCTGCTGCTGAGGTTGTATACTGGTAGTTGTTGTGATTTTTCCTTATTTTTCAAGGAAATGAAATGGTTGTAAGGTAGCAGCTGCCAGTTTTGGAAAAAATGAAAGGTTGTAGATGGCAGGGAGGAATATAAGCTGGAAGAGGCATTACAGTGGAGGGTGGGAGGGTGAGAGGTGAGCCATGGGAATGCCTGCAGGAGGGTGCCCTGCGCTGCCGTCCTCTCTCGTGTCTGCTGGGTTGGTTTTGTCATCCAGTGCACCTCCAAAACTCGTGTCACACGGCTCCAGGGAGTTGTCTAAGTGAAGAACTGAAGRAATAACTTATTTTATATCTTGCTTGAAAAAATTGTATCCCTATAGCCTATATACACATTATATCTCATGGTTTAATTCAGCAATCCTTCACATACAAGACCAGTTAATCTGTGTCTGATATGTGGGACATCAAAAGATTGAGGGTCCTGATTCATGATCTTCTAAAGAAAACTCCTGTCCTCCCAGCAGCACCCATTCAGCACCCCCATGGGTGGTCAACTTTCAAAACTTCCTCCTAATCTGACATTATTTCAGCTCATGTGTTTAATCTGAAAAGGGTATATTGACAGAGTTTATTTTGGTTTTATTTTATATGAGAAAAAAGGTGCATTTGACCTCTCAGTATTTTTTTTTTAATTTAAAAATAAGGTCTAGGAACATGATATAGATGTTTGGAGTCTGATTATACTTCAATACAAGTTTTTACATACTCATGGAGAAGACAGAAGCACTCATGTTTTTAAACCTATTGAAAATATTTTTACTTCTGCAAACAGATGTGGCTTCACCCTTGATTCTGTAATTACCATTGGATGACTAAAGAGTCTAGCTTTTTTCAGTTAATTGAAGTTTGGGAGAACTTTTGAGCTATAGTTTTTAACTTGCCCACATACTTTAGAACAGGTTCACTGATACTCAAAATTATTTTCCTGATATTTCAGAGGTTAAAGAAAATAACTTATAAGGAAGAGATAACAGAGGCGTATTGGTTAAACTAAAATTTAAAAATAATAAATTCATGTCAGCTGAAAATTAATTTGACTGGGGTCAATGATACCCTAATAATTCAGTAAGAGCAGAATATTTGAGCAGCAGAAATAAGAAACTTTTTTATGCAAAGCACTTGTGCTGTTTCCTTACCTGGGTCACTCCTTGTATCCTCATAAAGCCTCCGGTGGGAAAATGGCTCAGACCTCTTCAMAGCACAAATAAAATATCCAACCAGGCCAATTAATGCACACCCCAAAATGACTCCTATGAGGACACCCACTATGACTCCTTCTTTGTTGGTTTTGTCTGGGAGAGAAAGAAATAAAGACAAAACAGTAGAATGGAAATAATAAACCTATAAAATCAGTGAGTGAGACTTTTCACCAAGGATCTGAAACACTCTGGAAGTGTTTCACTAAACCAGTCTCTCTCTCTGTAGAACCTTTCTGTCTTTGCAAAAAGAAAACAGACATCTCCATCCTTGAGGTTTGGGTTTAGGAAAAATAAAAAGGCATCTAAATCAGTTTTTAGTCAAATGAAAAGGTTTCAGGTTTAATTACTGAATCAACCACTATTTTTTTAATTCAATAAATAAGCAGTAATCTTTCTTTGAATGCAATTATTTATGAGCATCTAAGCCAGCAGTTAAAATTGCAGCCTCTGAATTTCAATTTTTATGTGTGCAAGGTTAAAAATTCTTTAATGTTTCTTGCACCCRTTCAATTAGTAGAATAAATGCATTCCTTCTGGATTTTCCTCCAATTTCATAAAACTTTTCTTCAAGGTATTCAATTTTTCTTGGAACTGAGCTTGCTCTTCAACYCTCCTTCCTTTTCAGCTATCTAAAAATCAGGTACATTTTAATTATTAGCTAAGTATTAACTATGATGGGAAACATGAAAGTCTGATGCTCCTTCAACTCTTAGTACAAACTGTTCTTTCAGTCCTGCRTTAAAATCTTGAAAGCTAATTAACAGCAAAAATTACTGTGCCTTTTAATCTTTCCTTTTCTGCTCCTGAAGACCTGATTCAGAAGAGCAGGATAGAAAAGTGCCATGACAGTTTCATGTCCCATTGTTTCCCCACGCAWGCTTAACTTGGTAATTAAATGCACAATGAGTAATTCCTTTGCAGGTATTTAGAAGAAGTCATCTTTGGTCACCAAAGTTTCTGAACTTTCAAAAGTTGATGTGCTGTATGTTTTAAATGTGATTTCTACAATATTTTGAAGGTCCAGTGTAAATAGGCAATGCCTGTCACTAGGTTCTCCCTAGTGTTAAATAATGAATTGAAGAGTATTAAATAATGAATTAAAGCAGTAAATAATTTGAAAAATACATGTTTCATTTTAAGTGTGCTTTAATTTTAGTCTGTCCTAGGTCACTTGTAAATTTACACATCTCATAAAGCCTCCAGTTCAGTTTTAAAAGAAGATTTCAGCATTATAATTTGATTAAATCAATTGGGCTTTAGTTCAATCCTTACCTTGGCTGGCATCTTTTGGATTGGGTGGTGCCATGGAAGGGTTGCTGGAGTTACCATTCA